AGAGAGTGTGTGTGTGTGTGTGTGTGTGTGTGTGTGTGTGAGAGAGAGAGACAGAGAGAGAGACAGAGAGAGAGAGAGAGAGAGAGAGAGAACCGCAATGAGAGAGGGAACGAGAGAAAGTTTGCTGGAGAGGGGTGCACTTGCACCAAGTCTTTACTGATCTGATGATCTGCTGATTCCAACAGTGAGTTTTCCCTCCTTTCATTATATTTGTGATTAGTTTTGACAATTATTCTTAATGTACAACCAAGAAAATGACGGATTCGTTTTTGATGAGAGAGAGAGAGAGAGAGAGAGAGAGAACCGCAATGAGAGAGGGAACGAGAGAAAGTTTGCTGGAGAGGGGTGCACTTGCACCAAGTCTTTACTGATCTGATGATCTGCTGATTCCAACAGTGAGTTTTCCCTCCTTTCATTATATTTGTGATTAGTTTTGACAATTATTCTTAATGTACAACCAAGAAAATGACGGATTCGTTTTTGATAGAAAATATTTTATATTGTTCTTTTGTCATGGAGGCACTTTTCGGGATGATACAGTTCTTATTTTTTTTCCAGAGAATATCTCACACGGGCGGCCAGTGGTTAGCGCGTCGACCTCACAGTGCAGAGGTTCCGGGTTCAATTTCAGCTCCGGCCTCCCTCTATGGAGTTTGCATGTTCTCCCCGGGCCCACGCGGGTTTTCTCCGGGTACTCCGGTTTCCTCCCACATTCCAAAAACATGCATGGAAGGCTGATTGAACACTCAAAAATTATCCCTTGGTGTGAGTGTGAGGGCGGATAGTTATTCGTCTCTGTGTGCCCTGCGATTGGCTGGCAACCGGTTCCGGGTGTCCCCCGCCTACTGACCAAAGTCGGCTGGGATAGGCTCCAGCAACCCCCGCGACCCTTGTGAGGATTAAGCGGATCAGAAAATGGATGGATGGATATATCACACATCAAAAACCATGTACATAAAATACAGCAAATGCAAAGTCAGCAGCCTTAGTGCGGAGGTTAGATGGCTTGTGCGTGAGGTGCCGCGCAGCTTCCTTATTGCTATCGGAGAAGTAGCAGCGACATCTCGCGGCCAATTGGTCAAACAACAGGACATCGTTTCGAGACTGCTATGTATCCATCTATCTGTCTATGTGTCTAATCGTTTCATGTACGTCGCCATTTCATTTTATTTATAGTGACTAATAATACGGCATTTTTGCGAACAGACGTTTCATGCATTAAGAAGCATGATGACTCTTACCTGGCCTGTTGTCATTTTTGAGCGCTTGTTTCAAAGAAGGGGAATTCATAATCGCACGATGCTGTGGGAAATGCAAATGAGCAGCAAAGAAGGAGGAGGATGCTGGGGGCGGGGGGAGGGGGAGGGGGAAGTAAAGGTCACAGTCGTTTCCCGAGAGAAGACAGGAAGCTGCACCGAGCAAATGAGGAATCCGCTCAGGGGCCGTTTTATTAGGCACACCTGTTGCAATCGAGTACATTTGTGTGTAAGTAACAGCGCTGGAGATGTCAACGCAGGTGAAAAAAAAAAGATTTTCTGAAGTTGTGACTTCATTTGAAATTTTGAACTGACCTGTTGAAAGATGATCGTTTAATTGTACATTTTTATAAAGTTAATTTTTGTTTCCTTTTTTGTTTTTCATTACTTAAGGGGCCATTCAGAGTGGCAGGCGCCATTTGCCCATTCCAGGTGTACACTCATGATGCGGGGTGGGTGACCGCGTGGTCCTACCATGCAATTGTGTTACGGTGTTTTGCACATAAGTACCGTATTTTCCGCACTAAAAGGCGCACTGGATTATGAGGCGCACCTTCAATGAATGGCTATTTTGTAATTTTTTTTCATACATTGGACGCATCGCATTATAAGGCGCAATCTACAATGCCTCCACTAGGTAGAGCCACAACTCGAGAGGCGTTCATGACCCTCTGAAAAAACGTAAATTAATGATTACCTTAATGAAACTACGAAAATTGAAAATTATGCATCAAAAGAGAAAATCAAGCGAGGAAATCACAAAATTAATTCTGTAGGGTGGGTTGGGGGTGGGGATATAGAATTTATTTTGTGATGTCCTCGCTTGATTTTTTTCCATTGTTTCATTCATTGTTTCATTGGAGTAATCATTAATTTACGTTTTTCGGAGGCGTCTATGAACGCCTCTCGAGTGGAATGGAAGAAAAGAAGGCACGGAGACTGACAAAGACGTACAGTAGCTGTATTTGTTGATACTGTGAAAACCATGAATAAAGTCTGCCTTTTAAAAAAAAATAACACCACAGTTCTCCTTTTTTCAACAAATGCAGGTACGTCTGTCTCAACAAATACAGGTGCGTCTTTGTCCGTCTCCTTACCTTCTTTTCTTCCGGTCAACTCGAGAGGCGTTCATGACCGCCTCAGAAAAACACATTGGCATTTCCTTGAGCGTAGCTCCAACAAATCGATCAGATGTCAGCAGTGTTTGTTATTTATTCCTTTGTTGTGTATTCACAAATGATGAAATCACAATATAAATTCTGTCGGGGGGGGGGGCTATAGAATTTATTTTCTGATTTCCTCGCTTGATTTTCTGTTTTGATGCATTATTTTCAATTTTCGTAGTTTCATTGAAGGAATAGTTAATTTACGTTTTTCCGAGGCGGTAATGAACGCCTCTCGAGTCGAACGGAAAAAGATAAGGCACGGAGACGGACAAAGACGTACCTGTATTTGTTGAGACTGTGAAAACCATTAATAAAGTGTGCGTTTTAAAAAAACAACACCAGAGCTCTCCTTTTTTCGGAGCTGCAACAAAAACTTATTTAATAAAGCAGCGACACAGTTCACTGAACCAACAGCAAGTTATAACATTGTAAGCATGTCTCCAGCAAGGAGCTATCTTGGCGTCCGACATATTACCGTAATGACCATACAAAAGGCACACCGGATTTTAAGGCGCACAGTGAGCTTTTAAGAAAATGGAAGACTTTTTGGTGCGCCTTACAGTGCGGAAAATACGGTACAAGTTACAATAACTTCTCATTCAGCCTTTTTGTGAAATAATGAACTAAGCCAAACAATGAGGTGTATGGGAATAGCATGAAAACAAACATGTCAAACAGATGACTTCCTGTCAGGGACCAACATCCCTTCAAAATCCGCATGCAACACACACGCACACTCACAGCCGCAAAAGAGGCTGTCTTCCTCATTGTGCTCACATGCACCTCGCTCATATGCTTCCTGTTTGTGAGTTCAGTCTACTTGGTGAAGCAGCTAGCAGCCAGTCGCGCGCGTGTTCGTCTGTCACTCAGGCCACTGGATGGAACTGAGCTGGAGACCCTTCTCGACTCGGAGGCTTTGGCACTCTTCTGAGACACTCGCACACGATGGATGCCGGACACTAGATTGCAGGTAAGATGCTGGAACAAAGGAATGGAGTGTTTTATTTCCAGTGGCACCAGTCTGTGTGTACTATGGACAGTTTGATGATCTTGTGTTATTTTCAACTTGGAAAAATTTCATTCTGGTTTAGAATGCTTCCTGTAGGCATGAAATTAGATACACTTGCACAATCTAATGAGCTCCAATGTTAAATGCTAAATAACTCTACCTGGTGAGCACACGGTAGAACACAAACCTCTATCAAGGCAAAACAACCCCTTTCTTAGTTAACCCCCTCCTATATATGCAGTTGTGTGCAAAGCACACTTAATTTCTGGGGTGAAAAGCTAGTTTTGATACCCTTTTTAAAATGCTATTTATGTATTTATTTATTTACTTATTTGTTATTATTATTTTGTCAATTGATGTGTTGGATCAAATTTCTTTCTGATGATCTCTTAAGCATCCCTAGAAACAAACAATAAACACTGAACAAAAAAATATATATATTTACCGAAAGGGGGTGGGTCAGTTGCCCCCCTACTTGCATGCACCTGTGTAGATGTCTGTTGTTCAGTAACTTGGAAGCATGAATGATTGACTTTAAGACCAAAAAGGCAAACATGCAGTACAATTTGTAACATTTACAAAAGTATCTTAAAAATCTCTTTTTTTTTTCAATTCTTAATCAAGAAAAATATGTATTCATGCTCAGTTTTCAGTGACTCTGTCAGTGAGGTATTATCTATAGTGTACATCAATCCATTTTCTGCACTACTTATTCTCCTTACGGTCACAGGTGAGCTGACTTTTTCAAAGTGAGATGCACCAGGGATTGGTCGCCAGCCAATCACAGGGCACATATTGAAAAACAGTTATTCACCATCGCATCTGTTCTTCTGTGGACAATTTAAAATCTTCAAAAAACGTAACAGCCATGTTTTGGGAATGTGTGAGGTTACCTGTCGAAAAACAGTTTTAGAAACAATGAATATCTGACCACAAAAGGTAGAGCAACACATGTAGGCAGATATTTTAACACTACTCGTGGGTATATATTCTTTATCCTCTTCAAAAATGCTAAATATCACTTTTTTTTTTTTTAATTGAGCCACTTAAGTGGGAGGAGTATCATCTATACATAAGAACTCCTCCCAGTGCACTGGTCATGTTGTGGTTCACACAGAGACCAATACCCCACTACAGTTTGCTGACAGTTTGACCAAGAAAGGGATGAATCGGTTAAAAAGTTTCCATTGTTGCCCCTACTAGATATTGTTTCCAAATCAGCAGGTGTTTTGTTTTTTTTTTTTTTGGGCCACTTAAGTAAGAGGAGTACTATTGGTCTTTGTTTGGGTCGGCATGACTGGACAGTATTAGAATGCCTCCCTGTGGCCAATAAAATTGGGGGGGTTGTAGGGGGAAACAAAAATACTTGTCAAGTGACTGCAAGTGTGGGGTTCTGAACAAAAGTAGGACACAGCATTGATGATTACTGACTTTCATAACATGAGTCGACAGTAGGACTGACGTCCTGCAAAGAATATGACTTCATCAATTGATCATTCTATACATAAGAACTCCTCTCAGTGTACGAATGACACAGTCATCCTGCAATGAGGATCAGTGCTCAGTCAGCAGCCCTTTAAAGGCTTTGGTGGCGGGCGCATGCGCACGGCGGTGGTTGCCCCATGACGACAGACTCTTCCCGTCCGACCGCAGGAAGGGAATCATCAATTTTTCGTAGAAATTGCTCCATCTTCTACACAAGTTGTTGAGACATACTGCACATCAGTGGCTGATAGTAGTAGAGGACAAGGTTTGTGCAATGGGCACACGTGTGGATAGACGTTGAAGACATTTCGATTTTTGCTTGATATTCATATTTCAAATGACGTCAAAGTAAGACAAGGAATGTGAGGAAGGATATTAGGCTAAATGTGAAGAGACTCACCTCGCAGACACATCGTTTGGGGTGAATTCATTTTTTGTGTTTTTTATTCATCAACCCTTTCATGCACTAATAATGATAATCTGATCAACTGTCCACTATAGTAACTGCTGTCCCTGAAAGGGTTAATAGGAGCATTATGTGCATTGGTCATGTTGTGGTTCACGCAGAGACAAATACCCCGCGACAGTTTGCTGACAGTTTGACATTGAAAGGGATGAATCGGTTAAAAAGTTTCCATTGTTGCCCCAGGGAGATATTGTTTCCAAATCAGCAGTTCACTGGACTCCATCCATCATACATGTCACTTAAAGTCTTTCAATCAAAGGGAACTTCTCCTTGAGCCACAAGAGACCCTCCTCCCATGCACCAGTTCAATGAATGGAACGCAGCAAATGAATGGCTATCAGACCCAATCAATCAATGTGACGTATGGATGGAGGGGGGGGGGGGCACACGTACTGTACTTCCACAATCCCATTCACACATCCAGAGTGTGGCTGTTCTTCCCTCCCTCTCCTCCTTTAGTCTGTGGGAGTAAACCTGAGAGTCAGATCACACCACAACAATAGGGAGGCACCTGCTTCCTCGCCTTAACATGGGAAGTGGTGCTTCCCGTCAGGAAACAGTTGGTAATGGGATCGTCAGATGTGAGGAGATGGAGGAGGAAGCCCTTGGGGGGGTGGGGGGGGGGGCATGAGAAAGATACCCAGGTGAAGGTGCCATCCAGGTGGGTGTGATACAATGAGAGGGTAAAAATGAGTTCAACACCATGGGCTGCTCTCCACTGGCCACCCCCACGTTTTGCACTCACACTGGGTCTTATACTGCCCCATACTACAACATGAGTAGGCCTAATAATTATTTGTTGTTGTTGTTGATTTGGAGTGATTTGCAGGACAAACATAGTATCTCAATAATGTTACAATTTTGAGGGAGTTGGTTTTTGTGAAAGAAACAAAAATGTGCAGAGTGTGCCCTTGCACTGAATGTTGGTTTCTTGTTTAGCAATTTTGTGTCATCCTTGAATGGGAATTTTTCTTCAAAGGAGCGCTTTGCACTAGAAAAAAAAAACATTTCAGTTTATGGTTATTTTGTTGTTTCCTTCAAGCACTTTGTCATGTGTTTAGTGGACCTTTTGTTCGCGCAGTGAAATATGTATTAATAATTTGCAGCTATTTGCTGCATATTTAAAATTTTTGTCATACATCTGGTTAGGAAATGTGCAGTCCTATGTGGCACTCCAGTAGAACTGATGAAAAAATGTGGCCCCCTCAAGCATTTAAGTTGCCTATCCCCTATGTAGACTGGCCAGCAATCTAAATGAGAGTTAATACTATTGATCTGCACAAAGAATATAAAATAATATTTCAATAAAAGTGAAATAATATATTATTGCAGTGAATATTAATCCAAACCTTTCCTTTCACACGTTAGTAAACAATAAATGTGGCATAGAAGTCATTGTTTATCATACCATCCACAGTCAGGCGTTTCCTAAAATAAAATGCCAATAAAAAATAAGATGAAGAAGTGCAATAAAAAATGAATACATGGATGGATTAGTCAATACAATTACAATCTGAGATATTTCATACACGTTTTGCACAATATGTAATTTCCACGAGCGCAATCCCTGTTTTGTGGCTTTGTTAGCAAATGTACATGTATCATATGTATCATTTGTTTGAAAAAAATAATAAAATGTGGAAGTGACCCTGTTGACACCGAGGGACAACATCCTCTTATGAAATGCTCTCCAGTCATCGCACAGTTGCAACATTCTACAAAGAATAAAACAAGTGTGATGACATTTTGGAGGGTGTATGGAAGTTTTGAGGCTTAGTTTCAATGGGTTGGTTGGGACAAAGCAACATTTTTATTTGTTCTTCCATAAGAATGATGTAAATGGGTGTCATTTGTCATTTTCCCCCAGTCAGAAACTAGCAAGCGTGTGTTATGTGGGGGGGAATATATAGCCTGGACAATAAGGATTTATTTATTTAAAGGGGAATGACGATTCCCATATTTGGAAGCATAAAATTCCGATCACCGATTAACTGGCCGATTAATTTTTTTCTAAAATTAAGTGAATGACATCACATCTTTTTTGTCCCCTTTAACACTGAACTTTTAGTAGTTGTATTTGTTTAACTTTAAAACAGAGAGGAAAATCTGCAACCAAAAAAAAGGCAATTTTTTTTTGGCAAATTTTTTTGGGAGGTGGTGTTTGAATGTCGCTTTGTCTCATGTTCTAATGTGTTAAAAAAAAAAATCAGCAATTTTAAATCCAGCTGAGTAAAGTCATTCATCTTAATAATATAATGTGAATAATGTGAAATAATAAAAAAGGTCCAGGCTTCAAGATGACATAATTGAAATGCAATTGTAAAGAATACTTTCTAATTGTATTATTCTTGATGATTTTTGTAACTGTGTGTGTTTCTTTAGCCTATCCTGTAATTTGAATTTAATCAAAATGGCTGACACCTGGATTTTGTGACTTTTTTCATAAAAATTAGTAGGTCAGGAACAAGTTGTTTTCTTTCTTCTATGTTGCATTGGGGATTTTTTTTTGTTTACACTCAAGGGAGATTCGAAAACCAGATGTAAACCTCAACGTAGTTGCTCACTCTGTGAACTGTTGGCTGACCTCATTCTGAAACCAATCTGTTGGAGTTCTCTTGAAACACGTTCAAGTAGAGCATCTTACATGTTGGAGGTTTCACTTCATCGAAAGAAAATGTGCCAAGTTTGTGCCCACTCCCTGTCTTTTTAAAATGGAGAAAAAAGCCAGTCATTTTCTTGTGTTGCAACCTCAGAAGTACCCAGCTGTTCATCGGTTCTAAAATGGAACATCTTAAAAAAGCAATATCCTCTTTGCTACAAAGGAAGTACTTGGTGCTTCTCAATTTTCGATTAGACTCAATGTACATATGGTACATGAATTGTATTTGTGTTTGTGGAAAATCCAAAAGTGCATACTTTATACTATCACGACTACTACCACTATTAATAACAATTAATAGTAATCACCATCGTATCGAAAGAATCATTGAACAATATCCTGGTAGATCTGGTGAGCAAGTTGATGATAATGATCACATCTCATTTCACAAGTGGGTTTGACTGGAAACCTGGCGTAGGCTATCAACCCTTGGTGCGGTTTTGTGGGGCGTCTCTCGAACATGTCTGGTTTACGATCGCTAATCATTAATTTGTTGCTTAACAACACGTCGGAGATTCGGCCGCGTTTTGGCGAGGCGGTGGTGAAAAGACGTTACCTCCGTTCTTGGCTAACATACCGGCTAATCTCTTCTGCGTTCGTGCTTCGCGGAAGCGCCGCCGCCGCCGCGGCAAACGAAGCGGTCAGATCGTGAAGCTAAAACGGTATCTGAGACACGCTTCAACCGCTGCTCGTTCCCGGACGCACGGAATTACTCCGTCGTGGCGTGCCCTCTACCCCGTTGGCTCGTGCTTGACAACAGTTGTTGGCTCTCCCGCCGCGGCAAGGCATTTCTACCCTACGCGCCTTTTTCAGCGAGGAGTCCAGCTAAAGCTTTTGAGGGAATTTCCCCGGGCTCGGCGATCGAAAGAGGCACTCCCTCCAGTCGCTAGTCCCACAAGGATTGCGTTGCTAAACGCCCGGTCGTTGACGAACAAGACCCCTATTCTGAGCGAGTTTTTCCCTTTACAATGACTTGGATTTCCTGTGTCTGACTGAGATTTGGACAGGTACTGGTGAGTACAACGCTTTAATTGAATTGCTACCATCTGTCTGTGCATTCCTGGACACTCCAAGTACCTCAGTGGAGGAACAGTGAGTATTTTTAAGAACAATTTCAAATGTAAACGGTGCATGTTCACCATATCAACCACCAGCTTTGGAGCAACTTTCTTTGAAGTCGGTTGTGTTTTCCTGGTGCTGTGCGCTGTCATTTACCGTCCTCCTAAATACAATAAAGACGTTTAAACATGCTGTGGTCCAACCCTTGATCAAGAAACCTGGTCTTGATCAAGATGTGCTGTCAAATTTTAAGCCCATTTCCAAACTGCCTTTCATTTCAAAAATTCTGGACAAAGTGGTGCACATGCAGTTGAAATCTTTCTTGGATGAACATAACATCTTGGAGGTCTTCCAGTTAGGTTTCAAGACAATGCATAGCACAGAGTCAGCCCTATTACACGTGTCTAATGACATTCTCCTGGCAAATGACACTGGAAATTACGTGTGTCTGGTTTTATTGGATTTGACTGCAGCTTTTGATACAGTGGATCACAGTATATTGTTGACTCGTTTGCAGCACTTGTGGGCATTGGCGGCAGCGCTCTTGAGTAGTTTAGGTCCTATTTAGCTGACAGAACCTTTTATGTCAGCTTTGGCTGCTCTGAGTCACATACTGCTCCTCTGTCATGTGGTGTTCCACAGGGCTCAATTCTGGGGCCTCTGCTGTTCTCACTGTATCTGCTCTCATTGGGTTCCATCTTAAGGAAACATGGCATTCCCTTCCACTGCTATACAGATGACTGTCCCACTGAGCAAAAAAGACACTTTCTCATTAAGGCCACTTTTATCCTGCCTGGAAAAACTCAAAACCTGGATGGCACAACATTTCTTGAATTTCAATGAAAAAAAAGACAGGGGTGATACTGTTTGGTCCCAGTGGCCCTTGTACATCCCATCCAGTAGACTTGGACCCCCTGTCTCCTTATCTTAAGTCAACAGTCTCAAACTTGGGTCTTAAACTGGAGAGTGATTCTAAACTTTACCGTCAAATTGGTGCCGTTGTTAAATCCACCTTCTTTCATCTTAGACAACTGGCTAAAGTAAAACCTCTCCTTTCTCATGAGCACCTTGAGACAGTAATTCATGCCTTCGTCACGTCCCAGCTCGATTACTGCAATGCACTTTACTTAGTAGAGTCAGCCAATCCTCCATTAAGCGTCTCCAGCTGGTCCAGAATGCTGTAGCCTTGTGCACAAAGGCTCTAAGATTACAAACAAACAAACACAAAAATAAACAGGCCTTCAATGAATTGAATGAAATTGAAAGAATTGTAATTTTACTTTAATTGGGAAGGGGCGTGGTCATTTTACCACCGGCTGTAGACTGAAAATGACACCACAGTGCTCCGGGCTAACTAGCAGCCAATCCTGGCTCAGCTTCAGAAAACAGGTGAGCCGTGATTGGTTATTACCTGAGACTTGAGCAACTGTGATGTCATTTTCAGTTGACGGAAAGTGGCAAAATACCCCCCCCTGAGATGGAACCTTGCTTAACTCATATTCTACAAACACAATATTAATCAGAATGCTGCGTTTAGAAGAGTGGGGGTGCATAGAACATCGCGGTGAAGATTTTTTTTTTTTTTTGTTGACTTCCCCATTAAGTTTGTTTTGTCAGACTATCTCTGACACTGCTGATTTATGAACCAAAGTGCATGGATTTTTTTTTTAGGAACTATAGCAACAAAACAGCAGCAGACGCACTACCGTGTGATTCAAAAAGAAAACATCCCCTTTTTTCTGTCTTTAACAGGCAATCCAATTGTTTGCTGCGTGTCATGTGAGGAAGTGGCACGTCTTCCACAGAAGAGATGAATGGCTCGGTAGAGTATGTTTATCATATCTCCTAATCACGGTCATCCTTGTGAACAGAGCGTGAGGCAACATGCAGCACACCTCTTGCACGGAGGACAGGATCCAGCATGCTCTGGACCGATGTCTGGATGGGCTGAGAAACAGTCCCACAGCAGCGCACCGCTGGGATGGTAAGACCTCACTCATCACCATGTCTTCAAATGAGAATCGCGTTGCAATATTGGGCTGTGTGTTCCTGTATGTGGGTTGAAAAGTTAAATTATAAGAAAATCAGGGTCCTTTTTAGGGGACCGTAGCTTAGCAGCATTGGAAAAGGACACGCAGTTCATAGTTTGACCTACAAAAGGGACCCAAAGTTTAGGATGCTACCAAATTTTGTAGAAGGGCATACCCACAATTTTGTGTGTGTGTGTGTGTGTGTGTGGGGCGGGGGTATGATCCCCCCCGCCCAAAAAAAAATTGGTGATTTTAAAATGGATTGAATAATTTATAGACTTGAAATGGAAATGACATTCATGAATCAGCTCCTTAAAATGTTCTGTCAGTTGTAATGGAACATTTAAAATAGGGCAACATTTTAAAAAATATTTTTTGTTATTTTATTCACCTAAAAATTCAAATGCAAAACATAAACATGTTACTCTTTGTATTCTTAATGGTGTAATTTCATGTGCCACTCAAGAAGATGAAGATGATGATGATTACACTGCTGAACAATTCTTTCAAATTTTAGTGTAATTTCATGTGCCACTCAAGAAGATGAAGATGGTGATGATGATGATGATGATTACACTGCTGAACAATTTTTTCAAATTTTAAAAAATCAGAGATGCAAGTAAACTTGCCAAAAGAAACCATTTTCTTTTTTCACTTATTCGGAATCTGCCCTGATATTTTCTTCAGCACGTCAGATTTGTATAACAATATTAATAATAATAATATTAATAATACATGTATTACAGTAATCTATTTCAAATATTAGGTTCAGCAGCAGCTGGAAATAGGTTGCATCAGTGTGCCATTTTCTTTTAACATGTGATACAAGTGTAAAAAGAAGGGAGTTTGACAATCCCACGCCACTGTTTCGAACTTCCGCCTCACCGCCGCCGTTTAGACTCAGGATCAGAGGATTGGGCTGCAACGTAATTTTATTTCTAGATACATATAAGACCAGCATAAAACTTTTTGGAAACGTCTGATTAAACTTTAAAATCTGATGGCAGTTGTTATGCTCCAGCAAAAGAGGAATGGATCGGATGAATAAAACATATTTTAACCCTTCTAATTCATCGGGAAGACAGTATGATTTTTTTATTATTTTTTTTTCTGAACCAGCCAACCTTGGAATTATTTTGGGGATTTTTATATGACATGCAATGCGCCACCTCTAAGACACATAAACAAAAAAATGACTTGTGCTTTGAATACAAACATGTAACATCTTCTCGTTGCTCGTCCCTTTTTCTCTGTCCTAAAAGAAGTTCAAATCCATAATCCTTTTTTTCCCCATGTGTTGATAGGAATCCACTTACTTAGCTTGTGAGTAGCACCTTGGCTTTAAATATGAACACATGCGCATGACACAGTAGCTAGCTTCTTTCAATCCTATTCAAAAATAGGGTTGTGGTGGTGTCTGTGACCAGCTGAAGCATTTCCTAACTAGAAAAAATAGTTTGCGAGCTCCGATTAAATCCAGCAAAAATAAGGAATGCTAATGATACGTTTTAAGTGACTTACGCCACGACTGTCCATCACTGTAAGTGGCGTATTGCTCTACGCAGATAGGCAAGCGGAGTTGTTGTTGTGAAAAATATTCAATAAGAATAGTATTTACTCACATGTTAGGGGTTCTGGGATTCAATTTAGTGTATGGGTTGTAAGCGTGACAGCATTATCGCTTGAAATGTGTCAGTGGGCGTTGGAGGAAGTTGTGTGGCTTGACGTATGGGAGGAAGTGGCGGCTTTGACAAGAAGTTTGTGTGTGTGTGTGTGTGTGTGTGTGTGTGTGTGTGTGTGTGTGTGTGTGTGTGTGTGTGTGTGTGTTTGAGCGAGTGTCACATATGAAATGTGTCAACTGGGCTTTCAAGGTAACCTGAATTTTTCTAGTAATAGTAGCAACTAGTATCTCATCGAGCTCAAATTCTTCAGTTGTGCCTACCAGCTCTTCTGCTTACCCCGATAATCAGCTGACAGCACCCATTTTTTTTCTTGTTGATGTTTGGAGATAACAGATAACATCATTTTAACTTTCAAGTAACCGGCAAGGAATAACTTCCGTGTTTTGATTTGATATGTTTTCTTCTTCACTGCGCCAGACTATAAAAGTCTGTATTATAACATGATGCGAAACCATTGATTTTGTGTGAAAATGTAACCATTCAGTTAAACAATTAAATTGATGACGTTGTAGCCACTTAAAAAAGTATAATAAATAAATGTAGTTTATCCCTTTCATGCACCAATAATGGTAACCTGCAACCTGATAACATGAGAGGCGAAAGGGTTGAATTGTACGACAGTAAAATAAAAAGTTTAAGATGGAGACAATATAATAAAATTGTGTTGTTTTTTTTTAGGAATAAAGATTTTTTAACAATGAAAAGTTATTAAAGAAGTAAACAAAAAAAACCCTACTTTTTTGTTTTAAAGGATAATTCGAATCAGAATTCTTCTTTTCAATAATGTTTTGTGTGGCCCCACTACGCTAAACTCGGTATTCTGATTAATATTGAATTCGTGCAATACGTTCATTCATTTCATTTTGCCTCTTCCTGCCGCCTGAAAATGACACCACAGTTGCTTAGGGCTCAGGTAACGACCGATGACGGCTAAGATTGTGGTCGTCAAATGACCAATCTATTCATTCAAACTTTTAGAATGCATTTAGAAACAAATCACTGAATTCACCTTATGGGGTATATTTAAGGATTACCGTATTTAGTTTGGCACCTATTAAACAGTCCGTTACAATACAGTGGATTTGAATTTGCACCAAATCCTAGTATTATAAACATTCAGGAGTCACCAACCGTTTCTTGGGTCACTATTCATATTTTATCCGCAACTCTAACATTTCATACGAGGCCACTTTTGAAGAAACGGAAGGTGGGTCTCCTCTACCAGGCTTCGGATGCAAATGTCATTCTGGCTCCAATGAAGTTCGTCTTTTGTTCCAGTACCGATGTGCTCTGTGAGCCAGTCAATGAACCGTTGGAGCCTGGAGGAGCTGGTCAAGAGGGACCCCGACAACTTCATCATCCTCTTGCAGCAGATCCTGAGGAAGACCAAAGAGGTGAGGTCAAACGCAACACACACACACACACACACAAATTGGTGGATGAATAGTAGTGAGCGTGCTGTATGTCATTGTGTCCAGGTGCAGGAGAGGTGTCAGTATGAGATGGTGGCGCCGCTTGCCATCATGTTCACCTCTACACTTCTCCAGGTATAAATCCTCCACCACATCATCCCCCTTTTCATCCTTACATACTGTTCATTGCACATTTTGACTTGAGATAGACCGATATGTTTTTTTTTTTTTTAAGGGCCGCTAGCGATGATTAGTAGTCATGGAGGCCAAAAACTGATATTTTGAGCCGCTTTTCAGTTAAAGAAAAATACCGACTGCAAATCTTAACTTTTAGCATCTGTTGACTGAACAACGTATCAGATGTTCAAATTATTATGATTATTATTATTATTATTATTATTATCATTATTATTATTATTATTACTATTTTAATCATTGAAAAATGGAAATCTTTCATTTAAAATTGCAAGAAAAAGTTCAGGGTGCTTGTAGTGGAAATTTGACATTTAACAGTGTTAACTTGTATCTTATAATTAACTGTTAAGTCAGTGGTTCTTAACCTGGGTTAGATCGAACCCGAGGGGTTCGGTGAATCGGTCTCAGGGGTTCGACAGAGCCTCTGCCATGGAGGTTCAGACACGCCCGACTCAACATGTCAAGTTATGACACGCCCGCTTGGCCACCACTGACTGATTCATTTTGTGCACAATTAAAAAACGAATATTTTATAATTATACTAATTTTGTTTACAATTTTTCTGTTGTTTAATCAACGCATTTTTTTATGTCTTGAATTTTGTAAAAAAAATCATGCTTTTTATTTTTCACTAGTGAAATGTTTGATGAATGTGCATATGAACCGGTTGAGTTCGGTACCTCTGACAAGGTTAAGAACCACCACAACTTCAATCACACATCCCGCTATCTGTAAGCGTTGCTATGCAAGTTCGTTGCTGTGCAAGGTTGTGCGTCAGACTTTAACCCCTTCCAAGAAGAAAAAAAATGGTATGAGAGATGTGCTGCTTGGGGGGATCGCTCCATCACAGATCTGTAACTGATGCATGACCGAAATCAATCTCATCGTTGTAACAAAGACCTTCGTTGTCTTGGTTTCCCTGGACAAGATACGCTTCCACCCCAAATGTTTTTTTTCTCCTTTTCAGACGCCCTACTGCCCTCCCGACATGGAGCTACTCGAGAGCGCCATGGAGGTGTTCAGTGCCTTCATCACGTGGCCCGAGCCGTACTACAGCGTGTGTCGAAACCTGCTCTCCACCCTCCAGCTGGAGATCAAGGCTCCGGGTCTGTTCTGTGCTTTAAATGCTGCAGTCGTCAGCCGGTCTATTCCTGAGATGTTGTCAAAATAGCCTGCTGATGTTGCTTTCTCTTCCTCAAAAGGGATTTCCTTTCAGAGACTGGTGAGAGAAGAGCAGGACCTGAACACCAGCTGTCACTTCTCCAAGACCACGTACGTCCATATTGACAATGTTGTGTTGCCTCTGTCATTGACACATTTTTGAATTAATGACGCCAATTTGTTGAAGAAAAGCAGCACGGGAGAGATGCATGTCTGATCGTAAACGACAGTTTAATTCATTCTGTATTTTCTTTGACTTTTGATTGATGCACATTATGGACGTGAGTGTGCTCGTTGTTTTTAATTATTCTTTGGTTTGATGTCTGATTTGGAATTGAATTATCAATGAAAAAAATGTAAGAACATTTTTAGGTCATATTTTGTTTATGTTTTGAATCAGACTTTTAATTCTAATTTCTCTTTGACCAATCATATCTCTCCCTTTCACGTTATTTACATTAGTATTCGAAGACTGAAATTGTTCTGTAGTTTGATGTTTATTTTAAATTTGAATTGGATTTTGAATATTTTTTGTGATTTGTACTTAATGTTTTTCAAGTGTATATGATCAATCACACCGTCTCACATTACAGTATTTACATCTTTCTCTAAAGTAACAATTTCTTTTTTTTTTAAATTATTTATTTTTTGGGTTGAGTATTATTTCACTTCAATCAAACTGTTATTTGAACACTCATATCCCTCGCGCAGAGTGTCATCCTTCCCCAACATGATTTTGTTAGTCTTTTGTTTGATGTAGGTTTGGAAGTTAAATTCAGTTCAACATTACTCTTTGACCAATGGCACTCTTCTTTCTATTACATTGGGCTTTCTGCAAATGAACCTCCTCGCAGTTTTTTTTTTTTTTTAAGAGGAAACCTTTCCCTGTTATTTGCAAAAAATGAAAAAAAAAATCTCACCTATTCACACAATTCAGTACAAGTAAAAACGGCAAAATTGTCTACAGTAAGCTTTGTGCCGTTTGCCGAGTTTTTGGGGATCATGGTTTGTGGTATATTTATAATTAAAAAATAAATACAATATAGAAAATATAATCACTTTTAGGTGGGTTAGTCCGTAGCCCGATCCCGGCGGTTCACGTGACAATACTCTCCTGCCCCTGGACATAGTCATGTTCCCGATTCTCTATTTCCCTGTACAGTCTACGTACTCTATTCACTGACGTTACCTTTCTTAACGTTTGCAGGACGGTGCTGCTGATGAACCCGAGCGAGTTGCCCGCTGACTTCATGTCTGTGGCCGAGCAGCTCAGTTGTGTTCAGCACTCGGAGAAAGACACCTACATCACTCTCATCAAACATGCCTTCCAGTCAACGCTTGGCACCAAGTATCCACTCTGCGGCATCCATTCCACCTTGCAAGTATGTTTCATACGGACAAATGGAAATAGACACTAGAGAATATCAATTTGAATTTAATTTCCCCGTATGGTAAATACAGTATGAATGCGCAAGCAGATCCTCACTTTCTGCTTTGCTTCCTTGTTTGTATGCTGTTTATTTAGAATTTACAAGCAATGCAAACTCATGAAAAATTTTAGTTACACTTTGCATGTAATGTAACGCGCTGTGCGCTGGGGTTACTTGAAATAAATTTGAAACCTATTACAAAGATGGTCAATACCACCCTCTGCTATCGACTGAAATTGACGTCAAAGTGCCTTGAGACTCGCATTGCGAATGTCACAGCTCACCTTTTTTCTGGGCTCACGTAATGTTGGCCAAGGGCAGTTGTGACATCAATTTCAGTTGACAGCAGTGGGCAGTATTGGCCAAAATGGCTGCCAAAAAAGGGATGGCTTCTTCTGCTTAATCTTATTCCACAAATGAAGTATTATTTCAGGTGCTGTGTTTAGACTTGTGGGGGCACATAAAACATCCTCTTGCAAAGAAAAATGTACATTTAGATCCCATGTAATAGTAAATTTAACGTTAATAGAAAAGGATAAATCCTAAACGAATAATCCTGCTAATACACATTCATTATCTGTTAAAAGAATTCGGTGGAGTGTTGTTTATGCGTCATTGTTATCACTAAAGACATAAATTATGCAATATTGATAATAACTTTACTTGTGCAGGCAAAACCAGCAGATGAATTGAGGGAGATATTCTCCACGGTCAGTGGAGTGTTCGAGACGGCTGCAGCCATGAGCGAACCCCTCGAGGGACGTGGTCATGTGATCCAGGAACTGGAAGGACTGAGGGAGAGGTTGAGCATTCCTGCATCCAATGGAAGCAAGTCTGATGGTAAAAAGACAAAAATTCAAAAATAAGTTGCCAATATTACTGTCAATTTTTTTTTTATGGCTGTTATTTGCGTTTTCCCCGCCAACAGGAATGCTACAGACATTCCCAATCCCAACAGCCAAGTGTCGCATGTTCCACTGGGAAAAAGACAACTTTGGTAAAGTGAATTTCTTTGTGAGCAGAAAATGTAGCCAAAAACTAAGTGGAGCTACAATGTTGTTGGATGTAAATTTTGTACATTGGTATTGGAATTAATCCGTTCTTTGGTTCTGGGTTGGAATCTTGGTTCAGGTCCTTCAGTTTGCAGTTTGCTTGTTGTCCGTGTGCTTGTGTGGGTTTTCCCTGACGGTTTTAAATTCTCCAGAGGTGTGAATGGTTGTTTGTCCACATGTGCCCTGCGATTGGCTAGCATCCAGTCCAGGCTGTACCTGTACTCACTTTAAAAGTCAAGTTGGATGGGCTCGAGCTCAGCCACCACGGCCATCGCAAGGACAATTCCAAAAGAAAATGGATGGAGTGGGACTAATAAGACTCTTTTGATACTCATAGATGTCCTTAACACCCTTCTGGAGGACGAGCCACAAAACTTGTCAACTAGGGAGCATCCCAAGGAGGATGAGGACGAGGTGGACATAGAGGACGATGAGGGCCATGACACCTTGTCCATCGTGTCGGAGTCTTACGCGCCCTCGTTCAACTCTGGAGCAGACAGTGACTTTTGCGAAGACTCAGACGACTCCATCAGCTCACCAAAGCCTGCCAAATCTTCGTCTCGGCTCAGCCAGCACTTGTACCGCCTCCTTCGGAAGCCCAAGAGGACGATAAACCGCGCCAAAAGTTTGGGAGACACAGAATCCAAAGACTTGTCGGTGGTGCGGGAGATCCGTTCTAACTCGCTGCCCCACCACGTGCAACTACGCAGTCCCGAGCCCTCCTCATTCCAGGTTCCACCGAATCAGACCGTTCGACAGGTTTGCTTCAGGAGGCGGCCCATCCTAAGTTGCGACGAGGACGAGAAAAGCACCACGCTGAGAGTGGTGGTGTTTGGCGCCGACCACGTCGCCGGCAAGGTCGCGAGGGCCTACAGCAACCTGAGAGAAAAAGAGAGCGCTTGTCCTCGTCTCAGCCAGGCCTTCAAAATTCAGTTCTACTTTATGCCTGTGAAGAGAGACTCGGCAGTGGGACAAGCTTGTCTCAGCCCCCCCGGTTCTAAAGGAATTAATGTAAGTATAGCTACTCTCTTACACTGCTTGCAATGCATCACTGTATGGTTGGATCATTTCCCTGCTTTATCGCGGTTCAAATACTGTTCATCGCAGATTCTTTTGTAAAATGTATCCACTTGTTTATCACGGAAATCTGTCACGCCCTTGCATGTGGCAAAGCAGAACCACTGTCACTCTTCATTTTTCAGCGGCTTGTGGAATGCTGGGAGAAGGGTATAAAATGCTTAAAACAATGATCGCTGCTATCTTCTACAGCTCACACCCAGACACTCACACGCAGATTGGCCATAGCTCGAGGCAACCAGCTAACCCCCTTATAAAATCCAGCTTTATTTATATATTGACGCTCATTGCTCATTAAAATACAAATGACAACAATTTTTGCTTTTTTGGGGGCAAGGTTGCAACAAATGGCATCCTGACAGATTGTGGATGTTTTCCCCCCCAACAGGGGGGCCTTAATGGAGCAGAAGACAGCACAAATGACATTGCCCATCTCCTTGGGATGCTGGATCCCTGGTACGAAAGAAACACTCTCAGCCTGCTGAAGTTTCCCACCAATATCGTCTGTCAGGTACAAACCACTTCCGATTCCACTAACCTATTCCAGTGTCTTTCTCTTTTATAATGATTGAGTCATGAAAAAAATGACTATATTGTCCTCCAGCAAACATCCAAGACCGAGTCAGAGTCGTACGACAGTTCATATGAACAGCGGCTCCCCATTCTAGCCGATCTTATTCTCTACTATTGTCGTTATGCTGCACGGCCTGCGCTGATCCAACTCTATCAAGCTGAGGTTTGACATGCACACACACGCACACACATGCAGATTTAATAAACTGAAAGGAGCTCAGTACTGTACTATTCTCCTCAAAAATGCCACTGATTAGAACACATATGGACCAAATGCAAATGCCAAAGGAGCCTTTCTTTGTAAATTTAAACAAGATATTCAATGTGTTATTCATATTTTATTATTATTGTTGTTCATTGAAATTTTATTATTTATTTATTATCCATACAGCACTTCATTCATTGCTTCAAGGGAAAGTCAGACCAAAAATGTTCTTTCCAGAAACATGTTCTCTTCGCCTCCACGAATCCAAACATGGCATTTTGATATATATATTATATATATATAATACTTTCTGTCAACTAAAAATGACATCACAGTTGCTAAGGGCTCAGGTAATAACCAATCACAACTCACCTGTTTTCTGACACTGAGACATGATTGGTTGTTCCCTGAGCCCTGAGCAACTGTGATGTCATTTTTAGTCGATAGCTAGTGACAAAATGGCCGACCCCTGAGATGGACAAAAACGGGTGGATTTTACTGCTTCACTCATATTCCACAAATGTATGATTGATCAGAATGCCATGTTGAGACTAGTAGGGAGGCATAGAACTCATTATTGTCAAGAAAATGTTTCACTTTACTTCCACTTTGGTACATATTAACTCAGAACACCCTAATTTAAAACATTAGTTTTAACCTGGAACCAGCAATAAGAAAAAAAAAAAAACAACTTGAAGGTGTCTGCTCTTGCATCTGAACGACCATCTTCATTTTGTTGTTTGTATGTTGTGTTGTAGTTGACGTTAGCTAGTGGCGAGAGACGGAGGGAGGTGTTCGTCCATTCCCTCGAGTTGGGACACACTGCAGGCACCAGAGCCATCAAGGCTATGGGTGAGCAGACGACAATGACTGAGTCCATCGTTTCCATGCTGTGTAATACATGACTGGTTGTTCCCTTGTGCAAACGTGACTCCATTTACAATAGAGGAACATCAAACATATTAACAGGATATCATGATTTAGTTCTATTTTTCTACTTGTGTTTGTAACCACAGTTGCCGCTTCTGATTTCCTTGCAGAAGTAAAACTAGCTTGAGTTGATATGTTAAAACAGAATTTGTTTTTGTTTTGTTTCATGAGTCATCCTCATCAGGTGGCAGTGAACTGAATTTAACTCGCGTCACAACAAGCAGCACTTTGGCGAATAGTGAGCATTTCATTCAAAAAGAGGCTTTAAGCTGTTTAATGCCACTCTCACTTGATGTTTGTTATCAAACCAAACATAAAACAAAGAAAATTACTCCTGGTGTACTGTATTTGAAACAACCAGTTAGCTGTGCATCAGGAAAGTCCGCTTAAGTTAACAAACAATACAAAACGTCATTGACATGCTAATGATTAGCATTGATAGTGGTGCTTTTGGGAACAATGGATATTTGAACACAAACAATGGAGTAAGACATGTGGACATATAATAAAACAATACTCATACTATTTTTTTTTATCATCTACAAAAAATGGTGAACTTTACATCATCTGTGGAGTCTCTTGGTAGTAGCAGTAGAAAAAGTACTATTCTGCATCATATATGTCTGCTTGGGGTTAAACTGCTAAAGTGGACACACCAGAAGGAGCAGCACAATGAATTGGATTGAAGCATGATGCACCAAGCGTTTCATTCTTTACCTTCATTCTATTTAATTTATCATTGCTATCTGTTTTTATTTTAAGTACAGTGTAGGGTGCAATTTTTCTTCAATACAGTATTACACATTTGTGTTTTGTTTTTTTTTGGGGGGGGGGGGGTGGAACGGATTAATGGCATTTCCATTCATTTCAATGGGGAAAGATGACCTGAGATACAAGTATTTGTCAATACAACTTCAACTCATAATAATGTATACTCCTTTGTAATTGTCTATTTATGTCGCGCAGGCAACGCAAGCAAACGCTTTGGCATCGATGGTGACAGAGAAGCTGTGCCCCTTCAGCTTGACATCATGTATAATCGGGTAAGCCCCTCTTATCTATCCATCCATCCATGATCTTAAATACTTATCTGTGTCATCATTCATCCTCACTACATATGATTGCTTTACTCCAAAAATTAATAGATTGCTGTTTTTTTTGTTTTTTTTTTTTGCTACGCAGATGGTGATTAGTGGGAGGAGCCAGTGCAAAAGAGAATCAAAAATGTGCACTTCTGTCAACTTGACCAAAGCCTGCAAGAATCCTGAAGAGCTAGGTGGGTTCTGGTGAGAATTGGGTATATTTTAGACAGTTATTTGATCGTTTTAAAGACAACCATGGAAATTTAAACAAAAAGTTCTAAATGCCTACATTTGTTTTTATCACTGTCAGACTCACAGTTGGAGTGTCTGCAGCTCAGCATGACAGAGGTTTTAAAGAGACAGAATGGGAAAAACAAGAAGAGCTACAACATGGTGAGCTTAATTAATTAGTTAATTCATCACAGTGTATCTTATTTTATTCACTTTCAAACATTTGACACAATAACCACAGCTTTTCCGAGTGATAGAGTATAGACAAACTCAAAGTTAGCATGTTTAAAAGTTTCATTTTGTTAGATGCTTGATTGACCTCGGACGCATGTGTTTAGAGCACACAGAAAAAAGGGCCAACTTGAGCTGAATGAAACTGAGGCCTTGTTAACTGATAGCACAAACAGAAATGTTCAACTTCGAGTGGGCAGCATTGAGTTTGTTCCAGTGTCTCAATTCATACGAAATATACCCATTGAATTAACAATGTATCCATTGTTTGTACCGAGAGATGTTTTGGCCTCTGAGGGGCGTATCGGTGGGCTGGGCTGAGAGGTGTGACATGTAAATGAGAAGGGAGTGTTTTTCTGATATATCACTTGTAATTTGCATACACGAAGGGAGTGTTTTTCTCATATATCACTTGTAATTTGCATACACGATCAATAATAAGCCGGCAGAGGCTGCAGAGGTCAGGTGTCAGTTAAGAAGCGCACGGAGTGGCTTCGCAGAAAACTGCGCCTCCTGCCCGTAGAAAAGACAATCTCTTCCTGAGTCTGTTTGTTCAACTGTCCGAGTGAACATCTCTAACACCGAGTCAAATTCTTGATAAATAGACATGCCTGTGTTTTTAAAGGCCAAATGTGAAGTAATTTCATGAAATGCCAAATAGGGTCACAATGACAGTACTTAAACATTGTCCCCCAAATAAAGCATGAAAAAATAATTTATATGTTGTATATTTGACAAAATAATCGCTTTTCCGAAGTTCGAGCCTGAAAGGGGACTAACCCGGAAGTGATACGTCACATGGAGAACAGCGATGGCAGAGCTTCATACGGCCGAGATGCAAAGCATTTCAAACAATGATTCAAACAGCGATACAAGCAATAGATCAAGCGCAAGTGAGAATATCCAAGTTTTTGAAGAGTTGGAGGAAGAAGAGGAGGTTGGAATTTGACATGTTGGACCTTACATGTATGAGCCAGACGCTAATCAGGATGCAAACAATGTGCCCAGACGGCCTGACATGGAATGGAGACAAGACCCATCGAGATCATAAGATTGGTAAGATATAGGCTGGTGTTATTTTTATAATTTGAAGATGCAGGCATGTGCACATAATTTTGTTTTTGTCTATCCGCTGACATTGTTTAAAAAAAAAAATCAGACTTCATGTTCAAGGAGTTAGCCTACTCGGTACTTGAGTATTCTTTTTAGCAAATAATTTTTTGACTTGTACTTGAGAGATTTTTTTTAATGACTTTTTTAAACTTTTGTACAGTATTCCATCCATATACTTGTATATTTTGAATCAAATGTTTTCATAAACAACAGAATTATTGATTGATGGGTATAGCAATACAGTTGTTCAATAAAATGTATGCTCATGGTGTCATCGCTCAGTATTTTACTTTTTTTTTTATTTTTTTTATTTCAGGTGTACTTGTGGTGAATGCCAGCAAATGCCTACAGCACTTGAATGTGTTTGCTGCCATGAAATTCAAGAAGTAGTGACTGTACGTCAACAAGGAGAAGAACACTTCAATCAGGTGCTGGACTGCATCACCGACCATCCTGGACTCAATGCTGTGTGCCTAGACCCATATGGATTACACGTGGCATGGATGACCTACAAGCAGCAGTACAAAGGCAAGGCATTTGATGGGCCACAGGATCCCAAGTATAGCCATATTGCCTACAGACAATTGGTGCGCTGGTGGTGGAAATTTCTTGGTCAGGACAACCGTGTTGTGCTCCCAGCATGCGCCGTGTCTTGTATCAGGGCACATTTTCCACCACCAGGAGAAGAGGAGTCAGCTGTATTCAAAGGGTTTTGTGTGGTTAATGTGGACATGGTGTCTATCATAACAAAATACTGTAAGATAAATAAACAAATGAGGACAACTGAATACAGCGAATGTAATTTTTTTCTTTCCTGAGGAATCTGGTCTGGTGCTCGGCAATAACGGTTGACTTGTCCGGTCTGTTCACTGCTGCTGTCAGAAATTGCGGGTTGACACGCACGTCACCAGTTCTGTACTTATTTTGAATGGCAGTCAGTTTTCATCACCTATGACAGGCAGTCATTCACATAGTCTACAAAACAAAACAAAACAAAAAAAAAAACATTGGGATGATAAATATTTGGACGACATATGGGTTATACTCAGTTCGGCTAATGTCGCTACCTTCTACTGTTCATTCCACAAGAGTTGGCAGCTATGCTTTGACAAAATCATCATCATCTATCCAAAAATCACACTTACTTTTTTGCAAATCCTTGATCATAAGCAGACCGGTTGAGAAAGCAGGCATCTTTGAAGTGGAGATAGCAGAGAACGCTCGTCGATGATGGCGTGAAATTAATTCGCTTCGTGCGAATAAAAGATGTCAATTTATGTGCCCTGCTATCCTTCGGCCACTGGTACAACTTTTCTTTCGATTGCGAACAATACATCGCCACACACCGCCATGGCATCTTACCAGCAAGCAATGCAACAATGATGTTCAATGGCGGACTTCCCTCGCAGTTCACCAAGTGACGTCATTTCTGAAGATTTCCAAAGATTGCCGAAGAAAAGCATTTTCGTTGTCAAGGGCGTTGCTAAGCGTTAAACAAAGAATCTGAAAGGATTGCGTTAAAAAAACTAACGGAAATAGGCTTATAATTGTTCAGCCATTGATATTATTCAAAAACATGGTTGGCCAACTTTACTTCACATTTGGGCTTTAAGCAAAATTCAAAAATATTCTGTTTTCATCTCTGCTTACACAAACTGATTGGTCCCATTTTTCATGGTGCATCCCTGAGCTGGAACCTATCCTAGCTAAATTTGGCGGGGCCACATGCACACCGATTTAATCGGCAGTCCATTCCAGAGGTCATATGAATAAGTTCCTGTCGTTGAATTAATTGCAAGGCTGACTTGTCTTTTTTAACAGCACCTGAGCTTGACCGAGGTGAAGGTGGACAAAGTAGTGGTCAGCGGTGCTGCAGACACAACCTTTGCTGTATGCCTGGACCAGGATGAGAAGAAGGTACTACAGAGTGTCATCAGGTAAGACGAACACATATTAACTGAAATATAGACATATCGAGGAAAAATCTGGAAAATCTGACTGAAAATGACAAAAATGTTTCCACTAGTCTCTAACATGTCTGTCTGTCCTGTCTGCTGTCTAGGTGCGAGGCCTCCGTGTGTTCCAAACCCAACAGCTCCTCAGACTGGAGGGAGCGGCACGCTGAGATGTCGGCCCAAATTCAGCCGTTGCACCCGACTTTCTGCTCCCTCCTCTGTCTGCCCATTGTCACTTTCAGCGGAGTACTACCTTGACCCTGATGAGCTCTGCTTTCAGAGACTTGGAAGAAAAAAAAAGTCAACATCAACACAAAATGAATTCTGAAGACTGAGTTCTGAATTCTCTTCTAAAGTAACAGCTCAGCGGAGATAAAGCTGGGAAATTAATGTATAAATTGGGTGTTCCATTAAGATAATGCCGCATCGATATTTTGTATCACAGTATCTCCTGTCGACTTGGGTGGCAGAATTTCTCCCAGCCGGTAGCGAGGAATTCATAAACTGTTTATCAATATAAGCAACAGAGGGCGATGTTGTCACAAATTTGGGTTTTGGTTGAGCCAATCGTCCAGAAGTGGTGATACTGTACAGTTATTTTGTGTTGGTTTATTGTGTAAATATTAGTTTTCCCTTTTTAATATTTTTAAAATCGTAGTTTTCATGCACATTTGAGTAATTTTGACACATTTGAATTTGCACTTTCCATGTGACAGAAAACATATCTATATTAGGCTTGTTTCTTCCTGTTAAAGGAAAATGTCCAGCTATTTATCTATCTATCTATCTGTCGATAGATGTGTGTATGGTACTTTTAAGATGAGAACATGTTTTATAACTATGTAAAAAAAAAGTGTATCGATTCATATTATGGATTGTTTTTTTTTAATACGCATTGACTATTAAAATTCTCATCTTGAATTGTTCGACAGTCACCCTTTTACTTTGACAAGCCATCTCATTGGTGGTGGTGGTGGTTGTGATTTCTATCGGCCTCTCCATTGGTCGGCAGTTCTGATGGGCGTCGCAAAATTTCCGCACTACTGCCGAGGAAAATATAGTCGCAAAGTCACAGTTGACGACCGTCGTCGTCTACGCTACTGTCAGGGTAAGTTTTATTTAAAATTGGGTAAATTTGTCATGTTTGGAGATATGTGTGTTTGTATGTGTATGTGTTAATTTTAGTCTTGCTACTCTGGAAAAGTTTGAATGAGTTAGAGTGGCAAGTGGTAAATCACTCACTCCATGCGCGGTCGTCTTGAGTGTGTCATGAGCGTAACACAAGTCAAGTATTTTTATAGTACTGCTACTTGAAACCGCGTCTCCGTTTTTAAACAGGTTTTATACATAGAATATCATGAGTTGTATTATTTCAAAGATGTCTATGTGTGACTGTGAGCTTTTTGATAGAGTATTAATTGAGCAACTCGGGTCTTTTCAAATGGCCATTAACTTAATATTATGACGTTGCTGAGTATTTTAGAGCAGCCTACGCTAGGGATAAAGGGAAAGAAATACGAACAAAAAGTCATACGATGCTACTGTGGCATATCAATAACCTTAATGTACAGGATCACAGGATGGTTTTTTTGTGGGGGCTTCAGAAATGGGTGTCTAAACTACGGCCCTGGGCCATTTGTGGCCCGCCATCAATTTTTCAGTGGCTCGCAGCATGTACAAAAATCTGACACAGCCCACAGAGCTCGTTCAATAAAAAAGGGTGTAACACATTAATTTTTGATTCTGAATGTGGAGATGGAATTCAGCTGCTGTTCAGTGCAGGAATGGATCTAGTCTAGTGGGATACGGTGCCGTTGGACACCCCAAAATGTTAAGAAACCCTTAACAATTTGCCTTATCACCTTTAACAGAAAGCTGTTATGTAACATTTTTTGAATAACCAGTCAATATTGCTTATATTTTTTTACAGCCTGTGACATATGATAGACACGGCCCTCAATGCTATTCAGTTATTTAGAGTTGCATTTTTTAGTGTGTTTGCGAGAGGAGAGGCAGCCTAAAAAGTGTAGGTGTCGAAAAAGTTGGGGGTTATAAATCCCCTGAAAACAACGACTACTACTACTAATATTAATACAGTGATGTCTTGAGATAGTTTTTCGATAAACAAGCCATTGTTCGGCTGATTTATTATTATTTTTTTGCTTTGACGTTCAAACGAAACCAGCAGAAATCCAAAACTACTTATCACCTATATCAGAATTCTGCTGCGTAGCAGTTTAAAAAAAGCACACTCATATAGAAAAACAATATATAACTGTACAATTGGTTTTAGTGTATCAATTGATTCAAGTTTAAGTGGGTTCAGTCAATTCCCATTTTGTGATGGTATGAATATGAGCGTGAAATCTGTCGCTCTTTGGGCACCTTAGATTGAATGGGGACCAGCCCACGGTGGTGTCAGCCTTTCACTGGATGCCAGGTGCGATAGGCTCCAGCTCATATAAATGCATTCCAGAGAGGAGCAAAATCTCCAATATTGGTCCTGGGGGGGGGTTGAAAGTTCTGCATCCGAAACCCGATATTATACAGGAAGACCCAAGCAATGCTTGTTTGTACGTTTCCCTTCTGAGATAATAAAGGCGTTTTGATAAGAGTGCCAGATGTGATTGAGACCCCACACCCCCTGTGCTGTGTTGTGTCTCTTAAAATCTAAAACCACAGCAGTATTTCCTCTTGCTTCCTCGTTATATTGTCCAGCTTCCTGTTGGCTCTAAGGGGCATGGTGTTGTTTATTTGCCAACGATCCTTCACTGAAACCCTTGGCTAAATAAAGACTCTCGCTGTTAGAAGCTGTCTTTCAAATCTGGATACAAATCTGACCATTGATTTCACTTACTGACCAAAGGCAGAAAGGGAGAAACCATAAGAAGAGTGCTGTCAACGGTACCCGTAACTCGCACGGACAAGGTGTTAAGATGTGAACCTCAGATTTCTACTCAAGCGTAGGTTAATTGGTCACGCTTGGAGAGTAAGGCAACTATATGGGGGTACAAAATTGTACCCATGTGGCGCAGCATTAGGCCGCACCGGCACTACTATGACTATTTGCTTATTTGACAGGACCAAGACAAATGGTGTGAAGGCGCAACTCTGTTTGCGTAACATCCTGATTGTGACCTTTCTAAATACAGTCCTCAGTATTGTACTCGGGACCATCCATCCATCCATCCATCTTCTACCGCTTATCCGGGGTGGGGTCGTGGGGGCAGCAGCTTTAGCAGGGAATCCCAGACTTCCCCCTCCCTAGCCACTTCTTCCAGCTCTCCCCGGAGGATCCCGAGGTGTTCCCAGGCCAGCTGTGACATAGTCTCTCCAGCGTGTCCTGGGTCGTCCCCGATGTCTCCTCCCAGTGGGACATGCCCGGAACACCTCGACAGGGAGGCGTTCAGGAGGCATCCTAATCAGATGCCCGAGCCACCTCATCTGGCTCCTCTCGATGTGGAGGAGCCAGATGAGCCTTTGGGGTACTCGGGACCCCAAAGGCATAACGGGGAGGAAACCGTTTTGTGGTTGTGGAGCCACCATTGCACTTGTGGACACAAGAGGGGGGGAAAAAAACCTGAAGAAAATATGGTGGTGCGTCTTTGAATATAAGCCAAGATGGAAAATATCCTGCAGGACATTCAGGATAAAAAATGCTCCAGGCAAAAATAAATAATAATACTTTTGTTTTATTTTATTTTATTTTTCCTTTCGTCGTTTTTGTTGTCGTAGGCCCTGACTGCGCTCATGATTCTTTGAACAGTCAGTCAGATGACCACTTAGTCACTTGACAAGGCGCCTTCACAAAATGGGAGGGGGGGGGGCAACTTTCTGTAAGCTCTAAGGTGTTCGAGAACGAGACCACGGTCTGCTACGGCGACTCTCGACAGACTGTAGAACGCTATCTAAAGCTACTTCTAGGTCAATATTTAATAAATTATCCATCCATACATTCGTCCCTTCCTCTCCATCCATCCATCTCAAACATTAAATGTTAACCGCAACTCTCAGCATCTTGGTTTATATATAGTCTTTTTATTTACTTGTTTTCATGCAAACTGTTTTTATGTATTTTGTGCGAGTCGGCGCAATGTGTGACATTTTGTCTTTAAAAAGTATCGTACCAATAAACCGTACTTAGTTTCTTATCCACAAATTTGTACCTCAGGCCCTAGCTGTACTTTATCGCGAGTAACCATAGCAACACTATCACTTTTCTGATTTGCCTTACGCAAGAACTGAGTAGAAAATCATACCAAAAGTTTATTATGCTCAATTTCCAGCAGCATAAGCGTCACTGTGCCTGCACAAGCGACCCTCCGCTGACGCACGTCGAAAATCAGGGAATTTTTCCATAGACAACCTTGAACAAACATGGTGGACATGCATGTGCCTCAAAATAAATTTGCCATAGGATAGGAAGTAAACATTTTGCTGCAAAGAGCACTGGTTTTGCCACAAAATCTTGAGATTTTGCTGCAAAAGGTTATGAAGATAAAAGCATAAATTAGCTATAAATCATTTTGCTTGCTGCTGCAAAAAAAATTGTTTTGCGGTTTGTTTGTTTTTTGGGTTTTTGTTTTCCCAGAAAACAAAAATATTATAAAAGGTTGCAGTAATTTGTCCAAAAAGTGTAAATATTTTACCACTAAAAATACCACACAAAACATAAAATCGTCTGTTTAAAAAAAAAAAAAACTAAAATTTTTTCCACCAAATCTAATTTTGACAGTACAGTGCAGGTATTGATGTACAGTAAGAGGAACCTTTCCAAGGCAATCCTCAGTTGGGGATTTCCACTCAAGCAAATGCACTCTTTTGCTCTGCGAGCGCACTTCCACGCATTGCTGTCAGTTCCTTCCTGTTTTCCGAGGCCTCTTAAGCGCGCCAGAACGGAAACGAGCGCTCCTGTTTTGTGGTGGGCCCGCATTGTTCCCGGTCCTGTTCGACCGTCGCCACACGTACGGCGACGGTCAGCGGCGTCGGGCAAGCGCCATGACAGACGGACCAGGAACTGAATCACTACAACTGTAAATAGTCCGGTACAGTAATAGAAGAAAATGAGCGGGGGCACAAAACCTTGAAGTCCACTCAATATTAGGAGAACTAAAGTATCGCCTCGTTATTTTCCTCGTTACCGTTGTGGGTCAGCTGGAGCTTATCGCTGCTGGTTTTGGTCGCCAAATAATTGTAGCATTAGTCAATAACACAAATTGATATGAACCGATTGACATTCTCCTGCTGACGTTGCGTGTTGGCCTGTTGCTAGGCAGAGTTCACAGGTCATAATGTTAAAA